TAAACTTTTCTTTTAGTACGGGCTTAATATACCAAAAAAATTGAAGGTTCACCTATTGGGCTCCTAAGTCTTGATAAGCTTTACGAGTCTTGCGGACACCTTCACAAATTGAAGGTCCCACCTCGTGTCAACCTGTCCCACCCCCATAGCATCACAGACTTCCTTTGAACATACCAAGGAAAGAAAAGATTAGATGCTGAGTTCATAAGCCCAGAAAAGTGTACACTTTCAGTTTTATAGTAGGTAATATTATCCCAGAAAGTGTAAAGTGTATCCACTCAGCTACTGAGAAAGAGGGCTTTGGGTTTAGGGTTCAGGGGCCTGAATTAGAATAGGGTTTTGGGGCTTATTATACTATAACTAGAATAAGGAACCGCCACACTAGTATTGGTAATAATTAAGGCTCCGACATTACCCAGGTAAGAAAAGCTCTACACGTAGAATTCCTAGAGCAACTTAAATCCCAAACCCTAAACCCTAAACCCCTAAACCCTAAACCCTAAACCCGAAAGGGCTTTACCAAGCAGATCAGTCAAGAGACAGCCAGGCTCCCCAGAATGCGCTCACCTTCGCATGGCTTGGCTGTGAGAACGAAGGGCGTAGGTTCGTGGTGTTGTATTGCGTTTGCCTTACACCCTGAACCCCTTAACCCTAAACTCCCAAACCCTAAACCCCAAACCCTAATCCCAAAGCCCTCAACCCCAAACCCTCAACCCCAAACCCTAAACCCTAATCCCTAAACCCCAAACCCTAAACCCAATGTCTTGCTTCGGGATCGACGTGGTAAAGTCTGACAGAATCCTGAGGCCATGATCCCCCAACCGTAAGTAAACCCCTTTCGAGCAAACCCGAAAGTTGTAGGGTTCCGGGTTTAGGGCTCTGGGGTTTAGGGCTCTGGGGTTAAGGGCTTTGGGGTTTAGGGTTTGGGGCTCCAGGGTTTAGGGGTTAGGGTCTTTTAGGGCTCTAGGGTTTAGGGCTCTAGGGTTTAGGGCTTTAGGCTTTAGGCTTTGGGCTTTAGGGTTTAGGGTTTAGGGTTTAGGGTTTAGGGGTCAGGGTTTAGGATCCTAAACCCTAAACCCTAAACCCTAGACCCTAAAAACTAAACCCTAAACTTTAAGGCCCCAGAACGGCCACAGCGTGAATGCCGCCGAGGTACGTATCTCCTTCTCCCGATTTCTTGCATCCTCCTGCAGAGGGCTTGGAGAGTGACCTAAACCCAAACGGGTTAGGGTTTAGAGTTTAGGGTTTGGGGTTTAGGGTTTTAGGGTTTAGGGCCTAACCCGCAACCCACAAAGGCTAAACCCTGAATGTCCTAAGCCCTAACCCCTAAACTCCTCACCCACGTATGACAAAGCCCTGAACAACTGAACCACCCAAATTGCCGAACTTCGAACCCCCAAACCACCCCCAACCCTGAACCCCTTAGCCTTAACCCTAAACCCTAAACCCTAAACCCTAAACCGCCTCAAGGCCCCAAACACTAAACCCAAAGCCATCACACCCTGAACCCCGAAACGCCCAACCCAAAGCAGGGTTTAGGGTTTAGGGCGATACAAGAGGATTCAGGCCGTGAGGCTTGAGGTTTAGGGTTCAGGCTTCGGGCTTTATGGTTTGAGGGGCTCGGGTTTGAGTACCGCGCATCTTAGTTTGGAGTTTGGGTTTAGGGTTTGGGGCTTGGAGTTCCGTGGGATTTGATTTCAGGTCTGCCCCAACGAACCAAAAACCGAAATCTTGTTCCGGCTTTGCCAGGCGACTACCACACCATGTCATGAAATCGTAACCCTGCACGGGAATCAACAACGAGGCACGAAGCTCTCGAACTCTGGAAGTTCCATGCGGGATATCGGATAAGTACTTTTTGTTTTTTGTTTGGGTTTAGGGTTTAG